AGAAAATTTCCTTTTTTTTTGTTTTTGATTTAAATTTTTGAAGAAAAAAATCATAAATCCATTTTCTGTTGGTATGAAAATAGAAGCCGTAGATATGATGGCACCACATTTAGTATGTGTAGCTACCATAGCACAAATAGCTGATAGTCTTATTCGTGTTCATTTTGATGGTTGGGGTGAGGATTTTGAACAATGGATTGATTGTCAATCACCAAATATTTATCCAATTGGTTGGTGTGAACTTGTTGGTTATAAATTAGAACCACCAAAAGAACCTGAACATGATAATTCAGGTATATTTTATTTACAAAGAAAAAAAACATAAATGAATGAAATATTTCTGTTTTTTTTTCTATTAGAATCAACTAAAACTCGTTCAAAAAAATCAAATAATCGAAAATCAAACAAACGAAAACGACTTAGTTAAAAATATACTATTAAAAAGTATGTTACAATTTGTCTACTCTTTTTTTTTTCTATCTCTATTAGATCATCGATAAAATTAATATTAATATAACATTTCACATATGTTGGATGCTAGTTGTGAAAAAAATATTGACTAATTCTATGTCCTAGTATTTATAAGTACTGATCGACATCGGAAGATGAAGATGTATCAGACTAACAACTAGTTGTTAGATTAATATAGACATTTGAGCAGGTCTTCACACTTTATCATCACTTAAAACTTTCCTTTCTCTTGAAAAGAAAAAACATCTCAGAAACAATGTAATTTTTTTATTTTAGTGCCAAAATTTTTGATGATTTTCGTTTTGTTATGCATAAAAGATAAGCAGTTTCTCAGAAAAAAAAACGAAAGTGTCTTTCTCTGTTAGTCTTCATTTTATACATTTAATTTATTTTTGTTTGAAAGAGTATGTCAAGATTTAGTACAAAGTCTTTGCTTTAAATTACACTTTGGTGTTATTATATATTCAAAAAAACTTACATCAATTAACATCCATTTTGAGAGAGTTTTGTAAGTCATTGATCTTGTAAATTCTTTTCTCCACTTAAAAAGTAAGAATTTAGAGAAAAGAGCTCTGTATTATACTACATCCTGATATATTCTTTAAAACAAACAAAGTTATATATACAGAATGAACTCGGACAGAAAAATTTGGTTTGCTGAAAAAATTATTTTTGATCCTTGTTGAGTGAATATCTCTATCAAACGTTATAGTGTAGAGATGAAAACGTTAACATAGTCTCTTCACTACATCTCTAACATATCTGTAAAATTTCAGACAATTTGAATGTACCGAACGTGATATTGAGTTTTGAAGTTGGACAGATCTTAAGTCAAAAATGTTTCAGTTAGAGTTTTCCCTCATAGTAAATATTCAATGGAAAATGAACGAATATTTTTTGTTACATTTGTGTTGGATGTTTGTCTGAATAAAAACTAAGGTTATTCTATATCTGATGATAGATTTCAAGTATCATATGCTGATCATTAATATTTGAAATTGAATATATCATCTATGTATTTAGCTCATGTCATATAAACAAGCAACGACAATATATCTGGCTTATATGCATTTTTTTCATTTTTGACAAAACCCACACTTCTAAATCCAATGTATATAAAATAAAAATTTACTGTAAATCCAGTGATGGCGAAGAAACGAAAACTTGTCTTTCATTTTTTTTTCTGTTTTTTTTTTTGATTTCTGTGTATCCTTCTTGTTGAATAGACAAACATAATTTTGTTGTTTATTGAACTGATTTTTGATCTCATATTGATATTAATGATTATCGAACTTTTTCTGAAAGTTTTTAACTCTATAAAATAAGAGTTTGTTGGAAAAAAAAGCCTATAAATATATACTCATGTGTTATGGAAATTAAATTTTGTTGTCGCCGTATTGAGTCTTTATATCTGTCTTTGTTGAATGGCATTAACTGCTTTTGAAATCTTTCGCAATGGAAATTATCTAAAACATCTTTAAATATAATAAACAATCCTTTGAAATATGTACCTTATTCGTCATCTTTTCATGCTACTCCGAGAGACGCTAAAAGCAAAGTTTCATTTTCAATAGCACATATTTATATAAAACGGTTCTTTTTTTTTTCAATTAAGTTGTTTAGAACTAAAACTTTTCACTAATCAAAACAAAAGAGAAAGAATTATGTATGCCGTTTATATTATTCAGGTGGATGACATAGATATACATGTATTTACAATAAAGTAGTAAATACAACAAAAAAAAACGATACGATTCTTTCGTAATAATTGTTCATTATGACCTTATGCTTCATATTGACAATAGGTGCTTTGTTTTTTTTGTCTTCTGTGTTTTGTTTTCTTCGTCATTATTCGGTTGTTTTTTTTTTATTATTAATGCTGTGATGTGCATCGATGTATTTGTGTGTGGTTCCAATTAGGATTGAATTAGTCAAATCATTACTTTTTGACTATTTTTAATCTTGATGTTATTCTATTTTTCCTTATTTCTGTGTGTTCTCTTTACAGAACAGTTCTTGATGATGCGTGAAAGAAAACATTGTATGCATTTCTTCTTCCATTGGTTTGTGTTTTTTTTTTCTTTTTGTTTCTTTATTATAATCTCTCATTTTGTTTAGTCAACACGGTAGAATTCATAATTGTGTAGAATGAAGCATAAGAAAAAAAAAAAAAAGAAATAAAGATAAAAATTATTGCAGATAATTTTTTGACAAAATTTTTATATGATATGAACTATGAATCAAAAGGATAAATCATTCTTGTTTGTAATTTATTAAACAATAGATATGTTAATATAAAGAAAATTCGATTTTTAATCAGTGTTAAGTTCAAAGATAAATATCTATATTCAATCGTCGATCGGTGGTGTTTTTTTTTTAATGTTTCTGAAGATAACAAATGTCTTGAAGTATGTGTGTGTGCTTAAGATAAATTAATAAAAAACAAAAACAAAATAGTATAAAGTCAATGATAAAAACATATTTCTACACTATGGACTTTTTACTCACAAGGGAATGTCTTCAGCTGTTCCTTCTGATTTCAATGAATGTTTAGCCTAGAGATACTACATAGTGTTCTTATAAAAATTCTAAAAGAAGTTAGATTCCTATTGATATTGGACTAAGCTATCGAGTTTTGAGTATATCATCATAGATTGTTGAAAAACTCGTATTTTCGAATTTTGGTCTGATACTTTTGCGCATATAGAGAACTCAATTAGACTAGTTCTCATAAAATATTGAAAAATTTTGAGTAAAGTACCTTCGAAATATGAGGCTTTTATAAATTGCATGTTGTATACACTATCCATGGAAAAAGATCCATATTTTAGAGATTTCGTATCTTCAAAAAACTTTATTCAAGACTTGAGGGATTTTTCATAGAGGCTATTAAGAATATAGGCTTATTTAAAATTCGATAGCTTATTCAAATCTTTATAGGTATCTAAATTCTTTTAGAGTTTTTATTGAAACACTATGTTCTATTGTCTATTTCAGAATAAAAGATTGAAACTATATCGAAACGTACACAGTAAGTTTTTTTTTGACAGGTGTTCTTAGGATCTGCTATTAAGTTTATTAAAAATAAAACATTGTGTAATGAAAAAGTTTTAGAATTGTAATTTTCAGAAGTGCACAAGAATCATTAACTAAATATCTATAAATTATGCAAGTTCCTTGTTGTGAAGCTTAGCCAATCATGAATTATCAACATGTTATTACGTGTTATCAGAAGATTTTTTACAAAAAAATGCCTTTTTTCTGATTTTTTGACGGAAATTTTGCCTTATGGCCCTATTTAAAAATCTTAATTTTACACAAAAAAAACTTAGCGGAAGACCATGAGAAAACTAATCAGTCAAATCGAGTTCACACGATTCAGTGCAGTTTCATCTCCTCTTTTAAACGATAAAAAAATACTCATGCTTCTTTTATTTTGAAATGGACAATAATATCTATAGGCAAAAAGATCATTGAAATCAAAAGGGAGCAGCTGAAAAGTTCACTTGTCAGCAAGATTTTGAATGCACTTTTGTTCTTCAAAAGAAATCGATTTCAGAATAATGCTACTGATCTTGTTTGTTAATCTTTCAACATATCTCACAAGGCAAAATATCCGACCTGAGAAGTCACTTTTGAGTCGAAGCTACCTGCTGTATACAGATCTAAATGAGCTATGAATATCTTGAAAAGAGTTTGTATTCTTAGTTTATTGCTGCCGAGATACAGCACTTTTATAGTATTTTTTAAAATGAATGCTTTGATCTCGTTCCGAAATATAAGAAAAAATTAATTTTTGAATTTCGAATTGGAGCTTTGCATAGAGACAGACTGTAACCAGAATAGTTTTTTGTGAAAGTTTTTAGATCTTTTCGTTGCTCCTATCCTAAAATATAGCTATAGTAAAAGCGTGTCTTTTTCATTACTTATAAACCAGCAGATTTTATCTTCTTATTTCAGGTAGAAGCAAATCAAAAGACTTGAAATTTTTACAATAAATCACTCTCGTCAAGGCTTGTCTATGTACAAAGTTTGAAACAGAAATTCAACAATCAGTTTTCCTGAAGAAAATCACGGTATTCCTTTTAAAAAATACTTAAAAATATAGTATTTCCATTGCAATAAGCTGACCACATAAACTCTTTCCAGGATATTTACAGTTCATGTAAGTCTACGTAGTGTACATAGTCTCAACTGAAAGAGGACTTATCAGTTAGGAGACTTACCTTGTCAAATATATATGACTGTATTATTCTAATCAATTTAGTCTGAGATAAATGATTTAGAAGGTAAGGGTAATATTTCAAAGAACTGTGAATTATTTTCATCTTTCTTAATAATATGTTTCTGGAATTTTAAAGTTCAATCTAATCGGATGTATCTTTGAAAAATTACAACTTTTAGTAAACAAATCTTCAATGTAAAAGATAATACTTTTATTTCTTTAATTTTTTAGAATATTTTAACATCTTTCACAACAAAATTTATTAAGATATTTATTGTTTTTTTTTTAAATAATGAGTATTTATTTATTTTCCACGTCCTCGTGTATCTACCCAAACTTTACCAAGAAATTTTGCTTGTTGATGGAAATCCATACATTGTCCATCACCTCGACCTGTAAATCCACCTGATGGAGCACAAATATAATTGCATGATTCATCATAAAGATTATTAAATTGATCACAACAATCACTACTCAATAAATACATTGTTTTATCATTATATAAATATTTCATAATACTAGCTGGTGGATTCCAAACTGGTTCAGCTAAGATATTATTTATCTTTTCTTGAATACATTTTGGAATATCATTTTGTGCCGATGATATTATCAAATTCAATGCAATTAATAAAATAACTGGAACGATAAAAAATTTCATTGTCTAAAGATTATTTAATCTACAAGAAAAAAATTTTAAAAAATATGACTTAGTGTGTTTGTGAATAGAAAAACAAGCAATGAAGAGGTATATTTTGAAGCTGATTAATTTTATATTTTTTGTATACACTCCTGTCATCTGTTCTTCCTCTCATATTTTAATGTCGTAGAAGGAAAAAAAAATGCACTCTTGGTATACTCTGTAATATATATTCTGGTATACTAAATTGAATGAATACATTTCGTTTTGCGTTCTTTCCAAATAAGCTTCAATAAACGTCAGCTAAAGGATTTTTATATATTAACTAAACGAGAATTATATTTTTTTTATATAACTACAGACAAAAAAAGGAAGTTTCGTAAGAACGACAAACGTATACATAAACCTACGAGGAAAACATACTTTTTTAATTTATTAGATCATAATAAAAGAGAGAAAAATTAATTTTAACTAAAAACTATGATTGGCTCTCTATGGTACAAATATATTTTGTTTCGTTTCGGCTGAATTTTTGAAACTGTTTTTTATTATGATAAAAATCAGTTCCAGTTACTAGTGACCTCCAGGTGTCAAAAATTATATTGTCTCATATTGAACGATAATGACAAATTTTGATTCGTTGTACATAATATATACTCAAGGAAAGGAAAGTAAGTAAAAAAAAACCATACAAAAAAGTTATTACAACCCTGTTATGCAATTCTAGTCAACAAAAGAAACAATATATATAAAACCGCAGTAAAAAAGATGTTCGACATTATTTCAAAAGGTTATTTTTCTTGTTATCAATTACTCTAAACGCAAAAAAAAAGAGAATCTCATATTTTTTTAGATAAAGTCCAACAATTAGAAATAAACAACAGAAACCGATTGTTTTGTAATTTTTTTTATTCAAATAAAAATGGGTTCAAAATCAAAAAAACCAAGAATATCACGTTCAACTCGTGCTGGTATCATTTTTCCAGTATCACGTGTACATCGTCAACTTAAATCAATGCCAACTGCTACTAAACGAATAACACAAGGTGCATCCATTTATTTATCAGCTGTCATTGAATATCTTACTGGTATGTATATATATTTTTCAACAAAAAAAAGAGAAACAAAACATTAATAAACAATCTTTGTCCAATAGCTGAATTACTTGAATTAAGTGGTAATGCTGCACGTGATAATCATCGTTCTCGTATTACACCTAGACATATTTTTCTTGCTTATGCCAATGATGATGAATTATATCGAGTAATGAAAGAGCAAGAATTCAGCAGAAAACGAAATTGAACTTGTTTTTTGTTTTGATTTAGTTACTTCGTCATTGTGTGCTTCCTCAATGTGGAGCATTGCCGAGTATTAATCTCGCCCTTTTTCCTAGCATTAATGGTATAATTTCAAATAAATTGCCACCATTGAAATCATCAATATCACGAGGAACAAAAAAACCTGTATCGTCTACTGCTACTACTTCTAAAACAAGTTTACATAAGCCGACACTAACTAAAAAAGGTCAAGGAAGTTTTAGTGTATTGGGTACACCAACATCAAAGGTTTATTTAAGAATAAATTATAGTCTATTTAAATTCATATGTCAATATTTAGGCTGTTGCACTTAAAGGTACTGCTGTAACAACACTTTCTGAACGTGTTCTTATTCGTGGACAAAAAGTAAATATGATGAATTTAAAATATAGAAGAAAAAAAAATATATGAATAATATTTTAGTTAACTGTTGTTCAAGGAAGTATTGTTAATATTAAAGCTGATGCTATTGTTCATCCAACAAATAGTTCATTTTATATGGGTGGGGATGTCGGTTAGTATGTTTGAAGAAATTTCTTTTCTTTTCTTGTTTTTTGTAAATGAATGTTTTTCCTAAATTAAAATAATAGGTAATGCATTGGCTAAAGCAGGAGGTCAACAACTTCGAGATGCTGTTGCTGAAGCAGCTAGAAATTCAACATTAACAAATGCTGGCGATGGTAAAATGAAATTATTTAGTTTTTTCTTTTTCTTACGCATTGTTTCTTCTATTTAGTGGTTATAAGTGCTGCACCAAATTTATCTGCTTCACATTTAATTCATGTTCTTTCACCAAAATGGAATGCTACTAAAATGGAAGAATGCATTGTAGAACTTGATAAAGCTACTTTAAATATATTAAATTTAGCTGATCAACAAGGTCTTACATCAGTAGCTTTACCAAGTATTAGTAGTGGACAGTATGTATAATATTCAAAATTATTCTACATATATTCAATTCTATCTATTGTAGTAATGGTTTTCCAAAACAAACGGCTGCACAAACAATACTTGCTGCTTTATCAAAATATTTTCGACAAACAACAACAACAAATCTTCAACAAGTATTTTTTGTTTTATACGATGCTGAAAGTGTTAATGTTTATACAACTGAACTTCAACGTATGGTTGAATAATAAATATGACTGATGACTAAGGCAAATAACAGTGATTAATTATTCTATTGACTATTATATGCTTTGTTTGTTCGTTCTTCTTTTTTTCTTTCCCTATTTGTAATCCGATGTGATAAGTTTTCTGTAGACCAGTATTTTATGTTTTGGTTTATTTCTGTATATTTTTATTCTTTTAATATGTATATTCTATATCGTATAATTATTTAACTTAGAAATAAATTTTATTTGAAAACAAAATCTAAAATTTTTGTCATTGATATTATTCTTATTTTAGAAATAAAATGGCGGAAGGTGAATCGAAATTAACTGAAATACAAGATAATTTTTTTCTTCATGGTCAAACAACTAAACCATATATTGTTAAATTTTCAAGAAATTGTCTTTCGATTTCTTTACAAAACAATGATAATCAAGAACAATCAGTACCAGATAATAATACAGAATTGATATCAATTGATGATATTTATGGATGTTTATGTATGAAAGATAATAAAAATCCAATACAATGTCATTTAAATTTATATTTATATTCATTACAAAAAACAAAAGGTATTAGTGGAACATTTTCAAAAAAACTAAGTCTACAACGTTCCCAATTATTATTGACGTATGCAAAATTTAATGATTATGAAAGTAATTTAGCTGCTGTTACACGATGGCATTATTATATAACAAATGCTATTTATTTACGACGAAACCTTCCTCGTAAGTTTTGTAAGAATATTTTTATATTGTGAATAAATGAAGTTTGTTTTTTTTTTTTTATTTTTCTAAATGTTACAGTTGACATTGCGACGACAAAACGTAATAAACGTGCTCTTGTTTTTGTGAATCCCGCTGGTGGTGCTGGCAAAGCCTATCGACTTGTTATGGAACATGTTATTGGTGTATGGAGTGAAGCCGAATTTACTTATCATATCATTGTAACAGGTTTGAAAAAAAAAACAGAATAATAATTGCTGATTCAGATATACTTTAGAGAAAGATTATTGTGATAAACTTAATCACGTTATAACTTCTCGAATGATATTGAAAGTATTTCAATAGTAATTGAATTTTACGATCTACCTAGCGATAACATTTATTAATTCTCATTTCTATCATTAAAATTTATCAATTAATTCAATATTTTTTATTATTTAGTTTGAATTATTTAGCATACCTGAATGATTTAGATGAAAAAAAAATGAGATGAAGGCAAGACGAATAATCTTTATTTCAATTTTATATTATAGAATTTGCTGGTCATGCTCGTGATTATGTACAAGCAATACAACTTGCTGATTGGAGTGGTATTGTTTTAGCATCTGGTGATGGACTCATTTATGAAGTAATAACTTTATATATTCAATTGAGTTTCTTTTTCCTACGATTTCTATAAATAAAAGGTTATTAATGGTCTTATGAGTAGAGAAGATTGGCAAGAAGCTCTTAAATTACCTATTGGACATTTGCCTTGCGGATCTGGTAATGCATTTATAACAAATATTATACGTCATAGCAAGTAAGTAAGAAACTAATTGTAATTTATGATTTCGTCATATAACAAATTAATTATTTTAATAGTTATTTAATTTTTCTTTTTAGACAACCAATTATGAAAACAATGGAAAAATTTATTGTTCAAGCTGCTGTACTTATTGCTACACATACTGTGATTCCATTTGATATGGCTGTGGTAGATATCTGTGATGGACAACGACTTTTTTCTTTTCTTGGTATTGAATGGGCTATTGTTGCCGATGTTGACTGTGAGAGCGAAAAGTATCGTTTTCTGGGTAACCAAAACAAATATAATAAAATTTCATATCTAGTTATTACAAGTTAGTTTCTTTTTTTATTATTGTTTAGGTGAAGCTCGATTTACAGTCGAAGCCATTAAACGCGTTATTCGTAAGTAAATTTACTTCTCTATCAATAAAGAAAAAGTGCATATATCTGTACTTACGAAATATATGTCAATACAAAAATATCGAAACGTATCGACCAGCACTGTGTCATACTGAAAAATATCAAGAATTATATAGAGAAATGAAGTATTTTTCGTAAGATAATCAAGAAAACAAGTACAGGAGCACGGAGATATATGGAAAAGTATAATGAAGTACAGTGACGTTTGAAATAGTATTTTATCCAAGTTTTCTCTTTCGATAGGGTAATGTAAACATCACAAGGAAAAATCTAATCTTTTGAGCGTCGTCGTTTGTTCGGTCTCTATGCTAATAAAACACTGGCTTGGAGAAGCACAGAACAGACCTGAGCACAAGAGAATTTTTTCTGTCCTGTTCTGTGTCCAGTTGTGATACAGAAATATTCTTTTTTTTTCCCCTTGTATACACATCGATTTTTCTTCAATGTATTGAGATTATGAACAGAGAAAATATTTGCAAATATTTTCTTTGATCATATAAAATTTTTGATATTTTTCTTATTAGTAAAGAAAACTGATGTTTTCCATAATTTAGAACCTCGTACTTATAATGGTTATATTGATTATATTCCATATGAGGAAACTGATGATACAGTAAATACAAATCAGATAACACCAAATACAACAACTGCTCAACTTCATAGACATCTATTACCGCTCAATGAACCTATTTCAACTGATTCAACAACAACTAAATGGCGTCGTATCAATGGTCCATTTATTCATGTATTAGTTACATCAAAAGCTGCAATGTCAAAAGAGACAATAGCAGCACCTAAATCAACATTATCTGATGGTTATTTAACATTACAATATATACGTGCTGATGATTCAATACGTATGAATCTTGTTAAAACATTGACAACAATGTCTGATGGAAAACATCTTGATTTGGATTTTGTTGAATGGATGCCTATACGTGCATTTCGAATCGTACCAAATGATAAAAATGGAAATATATTGATCGATGGAGAAAAAGTTGCTTATGGTAAACAAAAATTAACATTGATTTACAATAAAAGATATTTGTTTTTTTTTTACTCTTTAGGTCCTATTCAAGGTGAAATTTTACCGAGTTTAGGTCGATGTATGGGTAAACAACCAAAAGTTGATCAAGTGCCAATAAATCCATAAAACAATTTCCTTTGTAATTCAGATAAAATATCATTTGCAAAGATGAAGAGAGACAAACCGTACAAACAAGAATATCCACATATTGTTTTTTTTTTCTTTTTCTTTTTAAATTATTTATTATTATTCAATTTATATAATTAAGCAAACAAAACAAAGCTATTTCGAAACAACAGTTTGATGATAGATATTTGAATTTTAGTATTCTTTTATATATTGTTTTTTTACAAAAACATGCCTTCCGTTGTTTTGTTTTTTTTTTATTTGAACAATTGTACAACAATTCTCTTAAATATTGCAGAAAAAAAACGTTTTTTTTTTTTTTTGTCAATAAAATATCACAGTTTAAATGCATAAATCAATTCGAATTGGAAAATAAACATCTGAAAAATTTAACGTTAATGGATTACTTGTTATATTCCATTGAATATTATGATTATCAGTTATACAAAGAATATTTTCATAAGAATAAGAACAAACCAAATTTACTGCATATTGATCAATTGTAAAATCAAATGGATAAGTTCCTCGAACAAGAATATTTCGTAAACGAATACTTTTTGTTGCTGGTGTTAAAACACCTAATAATGGATTAAATAAGAGACTTTTTTCATCATAACCAAGACCAACATAGCCCATCATAACTGATTGAATAAAACCTCCATCACCCGTAAGAAAATGAGTACTAAAGAGATAAAAAAAAAGCAGCGACATCAAATTTCAATTGCTATTCAATACTATGAATTCATCAATGTAGGAAAGTACTCAACGTCGAATTTTTTGGTAATACGTTCAGCTACTCTCCTACTCTAGAAAATTTGTTGTTAGAATAAAGAAAAATATTGAAATTGAGTTTTTCTAAAGGACGATGTACTGAAGTCTTCCTTTTTCGAACATATTTGATTGTTTGTAAAATTATTCCATTTAGGCTTTAGTACATTAAAAAAGTTCTATTAACTATACTGTGAATCAGCTATTGTCTGAAGGTTTTCTGTCAATTTGAATGGAAAAAACGGTTTTTGATTTTATTGCGTTTTTGTTAAAACATAATCTTCAATCAAAAAACTTGTACCGTCATTCAGATGATTGAAAGTATGAAAAGTTCTATTTATTTTGTGTTAAAACTCTTAGTTTAAGTTTTTGTATGACCAAATTTATTATATTTCAGTCTTCCATTTAGAAAGTTAGTGTACAGTATTACTAGAATGAGCTCTTTTAAGTTTGTTTTAACCTCAAAGTTCAGTAAATCAATTATAAAAATTGCACACATGTGTTAACTTCTATTTGAAACTATCCGATTTCTATAGTTCTCTATTATTGAAACAAAATTTTTACTAACAGATATTCTTTCAAAAGTCAATTATCTCTAAAACTTTCAATTCAAGCAGGCCATGTTGAATGAGAATCTTTGAAAGTCAATTACTATATATTGTATTCATCCGAATAGAATAACAATTATGAAAAGGTCAAAGTTAAATTTTACTAAAGTAAAATTTCTATAGGATAAGCTCGAACAGATATAGGTCTCGGTACTATTTTAACCGAAATAATCTTATCGAAAAGAAGTAATCTACAAGCTACTTGAACGAACTATTCGATAAAACATGATTTACATACTTAAATCCATGTCCTCCAATAATATCAGCATGAATATCGACCTATATTGACAAAAAAAAATTTCATCATATATTTAAAAATAAACTAACAAACCTCATTTCTAACATGAAATTCTCCATATGTACATGCTTGTAAAGATCGATTAAATTCTCTTTCGGCTTTTAATGATTCATTTAACATAAGCCATACAATAGTATGAATAGGAGCAGTCATACCTGCATTTTCTTGACAAGTGATTGGAATATATGTTTCAGCATCATTTCGTATTATTTCTGGTGTAACATTAAAATTCATTGGATAAGTCAAATAAAGAACATCTGGA